CCTTCTTTAAAACCTGAATTAACATGGCACACAGCAAACAGATTTTTACTTAGGAAATTGTGGGTTAAAAACTGACAACCAACATGAATTAATGAAAGACAAGTCGCACCGGAAAATTTTGTGCGTTCATCAGTGAAAGAACTGAAAGGGTGTCAAGGGTATTGCAATTGATGTTGTGTTCCTGGAGTTTCAAAATGAGTTTGATAAGTTGACACACATGGAATTAAAAGGGAATTGGTAACACAGTAACATCGATTGCCCAAGATATGGATAACAGAGTGTAATAAAGAAATGCAACAAGAATGAGGCAGTAAATGCTGACGAAATGAGGTTGCTCCACAAAGTTCAGATGTACGGACTGGCCAAAGCCTGAACTGGAAGACCTAATATGAAGATTCAAAGTTAGGCTAATCAGAGGTAACATTAAGCCACATTTCTCAATGCAAAGGTCTACAGGAATCTGGATCCTTTCTCACAGAGAATTGTCAATGCTGGGGATCCGTTGAAAATTTCAAAATTAAGATTGCAGGATTTTTGTCAGGCAAGGTTTGCTGTACTCAGTTGGTTAGATGGAGTTAGGATACAGAGCAGCTGTGATCTAAATAAATGATATAACAGATTCATCTGGCTGAATAACTTACTCCTGTTCAAATGACAACTAATAATTAGTCCTGACTGTACATTTGATCCAGTTAAAAATTCTTAATGTTGATCCTTAAACTGACCTTGATATGGGAGCAGTGTTTCATTGTTGAGATGATCAAAGGGTGGTAGATGTTCCACAATTGGCAGGATCGGTTGTTCATTTTAAACTTGAGATAAATTTTTGTTTAGCAAACCTTTTCAGGGATATGAGCCAAAGGCAGGTATATAGAGGTAGGCCACAGATCAGTCATGATTTCATTGAATGTGGAACAGGCTCAAGGGGCTGAATGGCCCGCTCCTGTTCCTACGTTCCTATCATCCAAAGAGAAAAACACAGAACCACCAAAATTGAATGTCTGAGTCTGTTACTGAACATGGTAAATCACAGAATTGTTATAGTACAGAAGAAGGCCATTTGGCCTTCCCTTAATCAGTCATGAACCTTCAGTAGCAAACATGGGAGTGAACAGTCTGTGCTTGGAGGAGAAGTGCAACATGATATGTGACTCATGACAGTGAGTCTGTTGGACAGGGACATTGAATTGGACACTATTCTGGGGAGGGAATGAACCATCAGGCCATCGGAGGTTGGGAAAGGGGAGACCTTATGGTGTTGAGAGTTGGGCAAGTGGGAGGAGATGATATACGATAAAAGGGCCTGTGTGAGAAGCTGGGGTAGATGAAGTCGGTATAGGTGAGTGGCTCAGTGATTGGAGGATATGAGTGTGTGGGACTCAGCTAGACAGACCACAGACCCACACTCCTCTTCCTTGTCACCCTCCCCCATTGAGAAAATCTAGCCACAATACATGCTAAAAGAAGAAAACCCAAGCTGAAAGGCAACCACTTTTATATAATTTTCTGTCAGGCCAAATCGGGTTATGCCTTTCCAGAGGTGAAACAATGTCAGTTCTAGTTAAACCCAATTCCTTAGCTTGGGTCAATTCCGCACTATCTGCTCTGATCAGAATATGGGTGCAGTCTGTCCCTCTATTCAGCTCTGCTTCTGAAATGAAAAGGGGGAAGGAAAATGTTATTAGTTAGCTCTGCTGCTCTTGGCTCTTTGTAGTAGCCATTTTTATCAGTTACTTATTTAAATGGTCTCTTTATTGCTTTGGATGATTTTTCTGAAGTTCACACTTACTCTTGTGCCAAACCTTATCTTTCTGAAATTTACTCCTCCCCCTCAGTAAATGAGAGAAAACTGAAATGCATCCCTGCCCCTGTGAAAATATTGAACAAAGATATTGCAGGAGTGAAAGGGAAAAGTCCTTTTAGTTTGCCAATAGGTGATGAGCATGTGAAGAAGGGAGTTTCACAGTAACATCGAACCACATGGAACTGGAGCCTGTGTTTGGAGGGCTGCAAGTATGTTGTTCTCTTTTCCTATAAATAGTTACATTCAACTGAACCTGCTGCTGTTCCCTCACAAGATTGCAGGTCACGTCCAATTCATTGATTTGTCAAGTTACTCAAAATACATCCAGAACAGCGAGACAGAAATTTCCTCCGGCACAATATTGCAATGACTGAAACCATTGATTTTTACTCTCTGCCATAAATCTATCAGGCTCTGTAATTATTGACTGAGGCTGAACCAGGTCAATTGCTACGTTGACTCCTAGTTTGACCTGCTGAGCCTCTGACCTGAGATCTGCTCCAACATCAAGGCTGCCTGCTTTGACCTCTAAAACATTATTTGTCTCTGCACATACCGCAGCCCATTTGTTGCTGCAATTATCATCCATGTTGCCATTAACTGCAGGCTTCAGAATTCCAAAAACCTCCCTGTTAGCCTCCTTGAACCTAAACTCATCCAAACCTCTGCCCATATCCTTATTCAAACATAGATTAGCTTTCAGACTGACACTGCCTCAAACGCAAAATTTTCTGTTGATGTCAAAGTTTTTCCATGGGTCCATCCTTCCCTGTCCCCATAATCCTCTACAACAGTACGTTCCTCTGAAATCTCTGTGCTCTTCAAATAATGGCTTGTTCCTCACCTTGACTTTCATCACTCAACCAATGGCAGATAACTCTCCAGTAGCCAGTCCCTAAGCTCTGGAAAGCTCTTCCTAAACCTTTCTGGCTCTTTACCTCTGACTTTTAAGACAATTCCTAAAACCTACCTCTTTGACTAAGCTTTTAGTCAATTCTCCCAACCACACCTTTAGCATCTCGTCATCAGATTTCTTTTTATACCATTGCTGTGGAGTATCTTGACATCTTTTAAATGTCAAAGATATTATATAAACGCAAACTGCTACTTGTTCATCGTCCCCTATTAAAAATAAGCTCTCAGTCAAATGTTTGTTACAAATTGAGAAGGAATTCCTTAATATTAAATGTAAATTTCTATTAACCAGGCAATACATTGCACTGAGCTTCTCCTCAAAGAACCTCTTTCTAAGTATCTCAACAGTAACCAGAAAAAGGCCCATAAATTCATAACAGTGAATAAAATGGACTAGATTGAAAGTTTAAATAAAGCACTGCTTCATTTTGAAGGTGTATTTGGGTCCTGATCGGTGAAGAGGACTGAGCTAAATACATGGGCGTTACACCTTATAAAATTGCATGCAAGGGTGCAACGGTGAGGGAGGGAAGTGATAGGATTGACACAGAAAAAGGCTAGGGCATTCTGGAGGGAATTATTTCCACTTAAAATGATCGACTAATAAATAGAGATGTCAGAGTACAGCAAGGTTGATTTAGTTTACAATGCACTGCCTGTAAGGTTGGTGGAAACATATTCATGGAATTCTGACAAAGGAGGATAGGGATGATGTGTTTGGCAGTGGTTTCCCACTGGAGGTGGTGAAAATGGCCAAGGATGTTACTTCAAATGTGGGGATTGGTGAGGTGGATTGAGAGGACAAGGGGAGCCCTATAATATCCTGGGAGGAAGGGGAAGTTATAAGGGCAGAAGTGGAGGCGATGGGGTGGACATGTCAGAGGACCCTTTCAACTATGGTTGAGAAGGGGATACCTTCGTTATGGAAAAAGGAGGTCATGATGGAGGAATCCCAGAAGAAGATGGCACCATGGTAGGAGATTTGATGGAGGTGGAGAAACTGGGAGAATGGAATGGGACCCTTACAGGAAAGAAGAGGTGTAGTCAAGGTAACCATGGGTGTCAATGAGCTTGTGGGCATATTGGTGATGATCCTATGCGCAGAAAAGGCAATAATGCAGTCAAGAAAGGGGTGAGTCAAAGATTGACCAGGTGGAGATGAGAGAAGGGTGAAAATTGACAGCAATTTTATTACTGACAGCAATTTTCCAATTCCTGATGTGAGCAGAGAGTAGCATTGATGATGTCATTGATGTACTGAGGAAGAGTTGTGGGTGGTAACCTGGGTAGGACCAGAAGAAGGAATGTTTCACATACCCCACAAAGAAACAGACATAACTGGGACCCATGGGAGTATTCATAACATCATCTTTGACTTGGAGACAATGGGGTGAGTTAAAGAAGGAGTGGCTTCAAGTAAGAACAAGCTCAGCCAGGTGAAGGAGGATTGTAATGGATGGACATCCCTTACAGGAAGAGTCAAAATCCTAAGACCATCCTGATGAGAGATGGGTATGTGAGGAGATTGGATGCCCATGATGAAAAAATTAGGCGTGGATACAGGAAACTGTGAAATCCCAAGAGAAAATAGAATCAAGATGAGAAGAAATAAGCTCAGAGGGACAGGAATATGCTGAAAAGATGTGTCTTTAAGAGCAGTCCAGCTTGTAGCTTTTAGGAAGATGATAGAAGCAGACCACGTAGGGTTGGGGCACTATGATGTGGGAAGCTGTAGAGGTAAGATCTCCAGAAAACTTGAAATCATTGACTGTCTAGTAAATAGCAGCAAATGGTGATGCATGGTACTGAGCATGGACATTTCTACAAATATTTCTTTATCAAGTATTCAACTAATTTTCTTCTGAAAGTTGCTACTGAATATGTTTCCACCAACCTTACAGGCAGTGCATTGTAAACTAAATCAACCTTGCTGTACTCTGACATCTCTATTTATTAGTCAATCATTTTAAATCTGCATCCGCACATTAATGGCCCTTCTGCTACTTGAAACAGCTTCTGTTTATTTGATCTATCAGAATCATAATACTGTCAAAATGAGGAAGGAGACATTCTGTCCATCTTGTCTGCAGCAACTCTGAATATTTTGAATTAGTGTCAATCTCTTGTCTTTTCCCTGTAACCCTGCTTATTGCTTCTACTTAAATAAAACCCTTCTTGAGAGCCTTAAATGAACTTGCCACCACCACACTTGCAGGTGGTGAATCACAGAACCTAACCTTTCAAGGGTTCATTCATTTATTTACTGAATACACATTTCCAATGTTAAGTGATAGCCTCCTCATTTTCTTAGCTTAAGATTATTAGTCCACCAATTATTCTGTAGAGGAGATGCTCCTCTGGAATGAGCAGTGCTGTTTCAATTTCTCCACAAGCACGTAAGGGATATGTACTGAGGCTCAGTAGTGGAGATTGGCTGCACAGGGGCCGTGGCCTGTCCTAAATCTGTTTAACACAGACAAATCTCACAATGGTAGATCAAAGCCAGACACTCGACAGATGGGGTATGTCACAAGGAGCTTGATATTGTTTGCCATTCCTCAATCTAAAGCATGTTTGCTCGTAGGTTTTGCAGATGATTCTTGCCCCATATTGGGCACCAGGATGAAAAGTGGGTTGATCAGGTTACTATGGCATGGGAAAGTGAAGTACAACATGAATGGTTTCCGCTGGCTTATATGTTTTCATCTCTTGGCAGATGATATTTTTGAGGACAGGAAATGGGGAGAGCAATAAGTCAAAGCGTTCCATTTATGGTCAATATTGTTGTATTCAACTGACTGTCCATGAGATATGTGTGCAATGACCTTTGCCAGATATGTGCAGAATATGCTTTTGTGAGTATGTTAGGACAAGTGCTGAGATTCAGACTACTGTGACAGCATTACCCTAAGTAAATCTAGCAAGTTTAGTTAAAAGATTTTTCTACATTTTACCTTTCCTCTGCTGTTTTCTTCATTTGTTCCTGAAAGGACACGTCATGCCTAGAGTCACTCTCAAGTACATTATGTTGAAAGTATATGTATATTATGTTGTATCATAGAGAACTTTACTGTGTAACATGATAGCATATCAGCTCAATCACTGTGACAAATTTAAAGAGCGCTCCAAATACTTATTTAAAAATGACAACATTGCTGCACCTTTCATAAAGCTGTGCTTCTTTTCTGTCACTCTGAAATCAAAAGATAATATCCAAACATATATAACTTGTGCGATAATCAGCTACATTTTGACAAAAAAGGTTGTCTCCTCCATCTTGTCTTCTTTCAGTTAAGCAGACATGAACTAGAATGTTCTACTTAACTATGGCACTATAGATTACGGATGACTCATTTCCATCTGAAGCTCCTCGAATCTAAGGAAATATGATAAGTAGATATTACACTACTGTAGCTTCATGTTGTCAGTTCATTATGCCAAATAAGATCTAAGGCTTTAGCCAAATGATTATAGTAAGTTTGACACGTAAACCTATCCATTTACCTCTTCTGAAGGCTGGACATCAGAATGTTCATTGAGGGTATGACCTTTGATACAAGGACAATTAAATAGTGAAGTCATATATGGAAGAAAATTACCAAAACGTTGTTGTCAAAATATAACTTTTTAATTACCTGGGCTCATCTTTTGAAAAATGACAGAAGCATAATGAATTTCTTCTGCAACTGACTCAGAGTTTGAAATTGCATCACCAAAGTCATGTTCGCTTTGACATTCATTGGCTGTAAAGAAGAGTTTAAACAACTTGAGAGTTGTGAAATGTTGGAAAAAAATCATTAAAGTTTTCTGTCACTATCAGCTTTTGGAAGACTGGTGGACACCATGATTTTTAGCTGGTTGTGTCCTTTTGCATTTTTCCTGTTACCCGACCTGGAAAGGAGTAAATTTATTCTCTCATTGATTTATTATAACTTATTCAGAAGAGTCATGGAAACTTCAGGAAGGCAAAATAAATATGAGCACTTTCCCTGGCATATTTAGCTTTTAACAGATTCAATAGAATCTGACAGTCAGCTACTTAAGAAACTGGAGCCTTAACGGAACAAACACTTAGAATCTTCAGGCAGAGATTGGGATTCTAGGACACCATAACTCATGTATTGTGGGTTTTGACTCTACCAGAGTATCTTTATCTGATGTTGCAATGCTTATGTTATCCTTCATAACACAAGAAACTAGGGTGCGGTTAACGTGTTATTGAAAGATCCAACAGATGTTTATTATAGCTCCCTAAAGTATACAAATACAACTTTCACAGGCACTTCTTAACACTTTTAACAATAACAGGCTAATGTTAAGTTTTCAATTACAAAGAGTAGCACACTTCCATTAATGTGTCATGGTTCTGGTGTCCCAAGTTAAAATGACATCTGAGACCTTTATATCCTCAGATCACATGACATTATCATAGTAATGATACTATGAGTATGTCTCTTGAAAGTACACTGATATACTGATTGTGAGACATAAAATAAGATCAGGAAGAGTGTTCTGTAGGCTTTTGGTTTGCTCAGTGCTGCATAGATCTGCATGATAATGCATTGGGACAACCCTGCTATTCAGCAAGTTGAAGGATAGGACATTTGATGTGATATTGAACAGCAAGAAAGTGTGAGGAATTCAACAGTTTCTGACAGCCTGCTCATTCACTAGCAAACATTCAATAGACAATCTGAAGCTTTCTGGGTCAACGTCATGCCTAACATATGTCCCAGTCTTTCCACCCAATAATTATCTCCCCCAAAATTGACAATAATATTAACTATCCTTGCTAGTTCAACAGCAAGTGCAGGAAACACGTTCTGTGGATTTTGTGGCTTAGAGAGAGACCTATTTCTAACTCTATAATCTGAGTCTCTACAATGACTAATTAAAATGCTGTTTCACCTATTTTAATTCTACACTCCATCCTTTTCCTTTTAGTGACTGCAAAACTGGGGAAGGGATCCTGTTGTGGGCTAATTGGCTCATAGAATATTTACGGTCATAGAAGCTCAGGTACAGAATGTCACAACTCTGCCTTTGCCAGGACAGCTTGCTGTCTGGCTCAGATGACCTTGCAAGTATAGATACATTATCCAGAGAGATGGTATCAAATTCTTTTCCCAAAACATAACTGTCTACACTCAAAGTTATATCCTAGAGTTGATTCCAAGAATTCAATGATCCAAATAAAACAATGATCAAAATGAAACCATATCTATTTCCTCTTTATCCTGCATTTTCACAACGTGCATTGACCATTGTAACCACTTCTTCGGGAGGCAGGGTGAGATTTGAGCTACTAAAGTTATTGAAGTGATCAAACTGATCAAATGATATGGCTGACTACAGACTATCAAGTCACATACAATGACAGTAGAATCATAGAATCCCTACAGTGTGGAAGCAGGCCATTCGGCTCTTTGAGCCCATACTGACCCTCCAAAGAGCATCGTACCCAGACCCATGCCCCAACCCTACCCCAGTAACTCTGTATTTTCTGTGGCTATTCCACCTAGCCTGCACATTCCTGGACACTTTGGGCAATTTAGCATGGAAAATCCATCTAACCTGCACTGGACTGTGGGAGGAAACCAGAGAAAAGAATAAAACAAAGAAGAACAATATAGCACAGCAATAGACCCTTAAGCCCTCCAAGCCTGTACCACCACATTTTGCCCTTCTATGCTAAAGTTGTCTTCACTTACAGGATCCTTATCCCTCTATTCCCTTCCTATTCATACATTCATCCAGGTGCTTCTTGAATGCTGCTATTTTGTCTGCTTCCACCAACTCCTCTGGCAATGCTTGCCAGGCACTCACTACCCTTTTTGTGAAAATTGTGCCTTGCACATTTCTTTTAAACTTCCCCCCTCACACCTTGAACCTGTGTCCCCACAGCACCCAGAGGAAACCTGTGCCAAGGGAAGAGGGCAGCAGGGTGGTGACTCTGAATGGCTGACGTGGAGAAGATCTGCATCAGCGCAGTCACTACTTCCAGAAGGTGGTTTGTGGAGGGGCTGTTGTCAAGTGACAGTTCAACCCCAAACACTTCCTCAGTGTTTCTCTCCCTACCTCCTCCTCTAAGCAAACAAAAAAGCACACACACTCCACTGTGAGGACGAGAAGCAAAGAGAAAGGGAGAGATCCAGGGAGCATCCTGGGAAGATGAGTGAGGGAAGACTTACCTCGGGTATTTGCAGCAATTGGTAAGGGTAAGTGTTTAATGAAGTTTCTTAAACAGCTTGATTGGGGATAGAAATGTCTGTCAGTGGGGTTAAATGCTGCACTTGTGAGATGTGGGAGATTCATAATGCTTCCAGTGTCTCGGATGACTACATCTTTCGGAAGTGCACCCAATTGCAGCTCCTCACAGACTGCATGGATAGGTTGGAGCAGCAATTGGATGCGCTTAGGAGCATGAGGGTGGTGGAAAGCATCATAGGCAGTAGTTTTACAGATGTGCTGACACCAAGGTGCAGGCAGATAGATGGGTGACCGCTAGACGGGGCAGGCAACCAATGTAGGTTGTCCCCCTCTCTAACAAGTATACCATTTTGGATACTGTTGGGGAGGATTACGTATGAGGGGGTAACAGCAGCAGCAGCCAGACTGGTGACACCTCAGCTGGCTCTGTTCTTAAGAAGGGAAGGACAAAGAGCACTGGAGCAGTAGTTATAGGGGACTCGATAGTTAGGGGTACAGATAGGTGCTTCTGTGGAGGTAAAAGAGACTCCAGGATGGTGTGTTGCCTCCCTGGTGCCAGGGTCAAGGATGTCTCTGAACAGACAGAAAGCATTCTGAAGGGAGAGGGTGAACAGCCAGAGGTTGTGGTACATATTGTTACTAATGACATATGTAGGATGAGTGACAAGGTCCTGTAGCAGCAGTTTAGGGAGTTGGGTAGAAAGTTAAAGAGCAGGCCCTCCAAGGTTGTAATCTCAGGATTACTCCCTGTGCCACATGCCAGTGAGGCTAGAAATAGGAGGATAGTACAGCTCAACACGTGGCTAAACAGATGGTGTAGGAGGGAGGGTTTCAGATATCTGGGCCATTGAGATCTCTTCCGGGGCATGTGGGATCTGTACAAGAAATATGGGTGGCATCTAAACTGGAGGGGCACAAATATTCTGGCTGGGAGGTTTGCTGGTGTCACTCAGGAGGATTTAAACTAGCTTGTTAGGGGGGTGGGAACCAAAGCAAAGGTGAATTGACTGAAAGAGAACTAGAGAACAGGGCTGGTAAGATTCAGAGGAACAGCAGGCAGGATGTGGTTGCTGATCAAAGCAGGTCTGTTGGACTGAAATGCATCTGTTTCGATGTGAGAGGTGTAACAGGCAAGGCAGATTAACTTAGAACTTGGATTAGTGCTTGAAACTATGATAATGTTGCTATTGCAGAGACTTGGTAAGGCAGAGATACGACTGGCAGGTTAATGTTCCAGGATACGGATGTTTCAGGCAGGATAAAGAGGTGTAAAGGGGATGGGGGAATTAAAGAGAATATCACAACTGTACTGCGGGAGGACACCTCAGATAGCTCATACAGCGAGGCAATATGGGTGAAGCTCAGGAACAGGAAGGGTGTAATCACAATGTTTGGGGTTTAACTATCGGCCTCCCAACAGCCAGCGGGAGATAGAAGAACAGATATGTAGGCAGATTTTGGCAAGATGTAAAAGTAACAGGGCTGTAACAGGGTCATTGTTGTGGGTGATTTTAACTTCCCATATATTGACTCGGACTCACTTAGTGCTTGGGGCGCGGATGGGGCAGACTTTGTAAGGAGCATCCAGAAGGGCTTATTAAAACAGTATGTAGATAGTCCAACTAGGAAAGGGGATGTACTGGACCTAGTATCAGGGAATGAGCCTGGCCAGATGGTCGACATCTCAGTAGGGGAGTAGCTCGTTAACATTGATCACAATTCAGTAAGCTTTAAGGTACTGATGGATAAAGATTAGTGTAGCTGTCAAGTGAAGGTGCGAAATTGGGGGAAGGCTAATTACAACAATATTAGGCAGGAACTGAAGAATGTAGAGTGGAGGCAAATGTTTGAGGGCAAATCAACATATGGTATGTGGGAGGCTTTCAAGTGTGAGTTGCTGGGAACTCAGGACCAGCACATTCCTGTAAGGATGAAGGATAAGTTTAGGGAACCTTGGATAATGAGAGATATTGTGAGCCTAATCAAAAAGAAAAAGGAAGCATTTATTAAGGCTAAGTGGTTGGGAACACACGAAGCAAGGGTGGAATACAAGGAAAGTTGAAAGAAACTTAAGCAAGGAGTCAAGAGGACTAAAAAGGGTCATGAAAAGTCTTTGGCCAACAGAATTAAGGAAAATCTGAAGGCTTTTTATACATATATAAAGAGCAAGAGGGTAGCCAGGGAGAGGGTTGGCCCACTCAAGGACAGGGAAGGGAATTTGTGTGTGGCGCCAGGGGAAATGGGTGAGGTATTAAATGAGTACTTTGCGTCAGTATTCACCGTAGAGAAGGACTTGGTGGATGACAAGTCTGGGGAAGGGTGTGTAGATAGTTTAGGTCATGTTGAGACCAAAAGGGAGGAGGTTTGGGGGTCTTGAAAAACATTAAGGTAGACAAGTCCCCAGGGCCTGATGGGATATACCCCAGAATACTGAGAGAGGCAAGGGAGGAAATTGCTGGGGCCTTGTGAGAAATCTTTGTATCCTTACTGGCTATGGCGGAGGTCCCAGAGGATTGGAGAATAGCCAATGCTGTTCCTTTGTTTAAGAAGGGTGGCAAGGATAATCCAGCTAATTACAGGCCGGTGAGCCTTACGTCAGTGGCAGAGAAATTATTGGAGAGGATTCTTTGAGACAGGATTTACTCCACTTGGAAATTAGTGGGCGTATTAGCGAGAGACAACATAGTTTTGTGAAGGGGAGGTCGCGTCTCACGATCTTAGTTGAGTTTTTTGAGGAAGTGACGAAGATGATCGATGAGGGCAGTGGATGTTGTCTACATGGACTTCAGTAAGGCCTTTCACAAGGTCCCTCATGGCAGGCTGATACAGAAGGTAAAGTCGCATGGGGTCAGAGGTGAGCTTGCAAGATGGATAAAAAACTGGCTCGGTCATAGAAGACAGAGGGTAGCAGTTGAAGGGTGCGTTTCTGAATGGAGGGCTGTGAATAGTGGAGCTCCTCAGGGATCAGTGTTGGGACCTTTGCTGTTTGTAAAATATATAAATAACTTGGAGAAAAATATAACTGGTCTGATTAGTAAGTTTGCCAGTGACGCAAAGGTTGGTGGAATTGCGGATAATTGAGGAGAGGTTGGAGAAACTTAGGTTATTCTCACTGGAACGACGGAGTTTGAGGAGTGACCTAATAGAGGTCTACAAGATTATGAAGGGCATGGACAGAGTGGACAGTCAGAAGCTTTTTCCTAGGGTGGAAGGGTCAGTTACTAGAGGGCATAGGTTTAAGGTGCGAGGGGCAAGGTTTAAAGGGGATGTACAAGTTTTTTACACCAAGGGTGGTGGGTCCCTGGAGCTCACTGCCAGGGCAGGTAGTGGAAGCAGATATGATAGTTACTTTTAAAGGGCGTCTTGACAAATACATGAATAGGATGGGAATAGAGGGATATGGTCCCCGGAAGGGTAGGAGGTTTTAGTTGTGACAGGCAGCATGTCAGTGCAGGCTTGGAGGGCCAAAGGGCCTGTTCCTGTACTATAATTTTCCTTGTTCCTTGTTTATTGTGTGGCACCTCCACCTGCTCATTTCTGCATGACACATGCTTCACTGCAGTCACTTACAAATATTTGATTAATGTGAGTTCTTCAGTGAAATGGCAAGTAATGGTCCATTGTTCATAATATGTTCATCATGCTTCTGTCTGGTGTTTAGTGTATGATTTATCTGTAGACAGTTATTTCTCTTACCTGGTTCATTGATCATCCTGAGGCACCTGATTACAGCAACAATGAAGCACGGAAGCAGCACAAGGGTGGCAAAAATGAGAATATAATTCAAAAAAACAAATTGATTCTTTTCTGAAAATAAAACACATAATAACTAGTTAGTTGAAAAGTATTAAGAAAATGTGAATGAAATAGATATTGAGACTGACATGGATTAATTAGTCCAAAGTGTAGAATAACAATGTAGTATGTTAATCAGATACTATGTATATTGTAGATCCATACAGCATGGAAACAGGCCCTTTGACCCATCTCTTCCACAGCAACAGGTCTTCTAAACTGAACTAGTCACATTTTCATGAACATGTCCAAATGTCTTTCAAATGTTGTAATTGTACACATATTTATCTCTTCCACTGGCAGCTTGTTCCGTATATGCACTACCCTCTGTGTGAAAAAGCTGTCTCTTGGGTTCCTTTTAAATCTTTCCTCTCTTACCTTCAACCCATGCCCTCTAGTTTGGACTCCCCTACCCTGGGGAAAAGACCTTGACTATTAATCTCAACTATGCCCCTTATGATTTTATAAACCTCTCTATAGTCAACCATTAGCCTTCTATGCTCCAGGGGAAAAGAGTCCCACTCTATCCAATCTGTCCATTTAACTCAAACCTTCCAGTCCTTGTAAATGTTTTGGCACCCTTTCCAGTTTAATAACATCCCTCCTATGACAGGGCGACGAGAATTGTACGCAGTACTCCAAATGTGACCTCACCAACACCTTGTACAGCCATAACATGACATCCCAATGGATATATATTTCCAAGTCAGGATGGGCAGTAGCTTGGATGGGAACTTGCAGGTAGTGGTATTCCCTTCTATCTGATGCCCCTGTCCTTCTAGACGGAAATGGCGTGAGTTTGGAAGGCATTGTCTAAGGATCTTTGGTGAATTGCTGTGGTGCATCCTGTAGGTAGTGCACACTGCTGCTACTGAGCATCAGTGGTGGAGGGAGTGGACGCTTGTGGACGTGGTGCCAATCAAGCGGGCTGCTTTGCCCTGGATAGTGTCAAGCTTATCAATGTTGTTGGAGGTGCACCCATCCAGGCATATGGGATACTTGCCTTTATTAGTCAAGACATTAAATGCAAGATCAGGGACATTATGATGGAACTGTAAAAAATGCTAGTCAGACCACAGCTGCAGTAATATGTGCAGTTCTAGTTAACATACTATTGGAAAGATGGGATTGCACTGCAGATGGAAGAGTAGGTTGTAAATTCCGTGCAGGAAAGAATGAGTTGTGGAATCCTTTTCTTGTGGGTCATGCTCCTAATGCCCAAATGGCACCCTCCAAAGGTCATACGCCCTCCTTCCTGCATTTTTTGAAGTTAGCACAGGCACCACAATGTTGTGCTGGACATAATGCTAAATCAAACTAATCCCTTTTGCCTGACCTTGGTCCATATCCCTCCATTTCTTCCATATTCCTGTGCTTATCTAAAAGTCCTGTAAAAGCCCCTATCATATCTGCCTCCACCACCACCCCTGGTAGTGCGTTCCAGATTCCTACCACTCGTTGTGTGAAAGAAATTTACCCCTCACATCTCCTAAGAACTTTCTTCTCATTTTAAGTGCATGCCCCTTAGTATTAGACATTTCAACTCTGGGAAAAAAGATTTTCACTGTCAACCCTATCTATGCATCTTTTGTCAACATGTGAAAAAATGAGGATCTGGCTAAGGTTTACAAAACTATGAGGGCATAGATAGGACAGATAGGAAAATTTTTTTCCCCCCGAAGTAAAGGAATCAATAACCTGACCACAGAGCCTGTGCACTGTAACCATATTGTGGCATGGGCAGGGTAATATTGGGGTCAATAGAGACTTAAGCAAACACTATTAATCCCTATTTACTTATTTACATGTGGAACATAGGTTGCCATCTTCAGCACTCGCCCACCCTCCATGTTATGGGAGTTAGCTTAGGAATCGATGAAGAAGCTGGAGCAGAGGGCTCCCTCCCTATTATACAGCTCTCACATACTGATAAAATCACACACAGCAGAGATATATAATATCTAGCCCATTGTCACCAACTTAGAGTCAGAGTTGCTCGGTTCAGAGCAAAATGGCATCTGGTTTTCAGAGTAGAGGAATTGAAATTCTAAGATAATCAGCCTGGAAACTGCAGAGCTGACATACCACAATTGAACACAAGTCCAAAAAAGCTAAATACAGCACATCATGTAACACAGTATCTAGAAATAAAGCCGCTGTACCCAAAAAGGCTCCTCACCAACCTCACCAAATGAAGGAAATGTTGAAATGAAGAAGGAAATTGACTTTGCTCAAGGAAGAGATTATTTCACTTCGACAGAACCAAGCAGCTGAAGTTCGAAAATGACCTGGTGCCAAAACCTGACAGATCCATCCAAATGTAGCTGGATTTTACACTTCTGAAAAAGTAGCTGAATGGCCAACTTATTGACTTTAACAATTTACGCAGAAAGCTTTCCCTGAATTCTGACCAATTTTCTTCTTAGCATGAGTTATTTGATCTATCTGTCACCAAATGCCCATCAGGCATGAGCCCAAAGGATGGACTTTGACAGCTCCTTGCCTGTGGAAAGCCACTGCCTTTGTTGAATCTTACCTGACACCTACAACTGTGCAGATGGAGAACAGATGATTCGCAGTTAGGGTTGCATGCTCTAATTCACAGTGACCTTTTGCTTAGTTGTGGTTAAATCTAGCAATCTCATGTTTACTCCCTCAGATTAGGTGAGCAAATTAGCTTTGGGAACTAGAAACCAAACCTGGCGCCTTCCTTGCCTACACATTGGATAAATGCACTGAGATTTCAGAAGCTAACAGCTACAGCCCTCCAATAATGAATGATTGTTGGCTTGATGTGATTGAAACCCTCCCCAACCACCATTTTATATAAATATTGAATGTCACTGATAAAGGTAGAATCATAATTTAGCATATTTATACTGTTTATCACAGGGAATCATCTGAACAAGTGTCAGCAGTGAGACAAATCACAGGAAAAGATATCTTAGTTTCTGCAGTGCATGTTGGGAAATTAACAATGACAATGGAGACCAGAAATGTAAATAAAAGATGCTGGAATAGAAACTGTTAGAAATACACATTATCAGGAACAATAATGTTATTTCCACACTGTCTGGCTTTACAATATTATCCTAGCTCCCTCTTAATGCTGGTATCTGAATTAATAGCTCCCTCTTACTCGCAATCTCAGCATTGTTGGCAGCTCCCACTGACTGTCAGACTCAGTATGGTAAACAGCTCCCTCTTACAGTCAGACACAGTATGGTTAACAGCTCCCTCTTACTCTCAGACTCAGTATGGTTAATGGCTCCCTCTTACTCTCAGATTCAGTATGATTAACAGCTCCCTCTTGCTCTCAGACTCAGTGTGGTTAACAGCTCCATCTTACTCTCAGGCTCAGTGTGGGTAACAGCTGCCTGTTACTGTCAGACTCATTTTGGTTAACAGCTCCCTCTTACTCTCAGACTCAGTGTAGTGAACAGCTCCGTCTTACTCTCAGACTCAGTGTGCTTAACAGCTCCCTCTTACTCTCAGACTCAGTATGATTAACAGCTCCC